CCAAAGCATGGAGCCTGATCCATTTAAGCAAAACAAGTTCTACTGACAGCTGGTTTTCTTAGCATATTCACGTCTGCGTATTTATCAGAGAAAAGCCCTCCAGGACAACAGTGTTTATTGCAGGATTATTTCTGTGAACACAGGGAAGACAGAACTCACTGAGTAACAGTGTTTCTACCCTTATATATTTTTTCTTAAAATGTGAACCAAGATGAACCCAGTTTTATTTTCTTTAGCATGGATGACTCATGAAGCGAAAAAAAATTACATATATAATTTTTTTTCTTTTAAGAAAAAACCCCAGAACCTTCTGATCCACATTCATCTGTAGTATGCTGACACATATTTTAAACACTAATATAGAAATGAGCTGTTCAATCCTGCACTGACTGTCTGGATTTAGAGTCTAATGACTTTTAATAAACAGAAAACAAAGATGCGATGGACAATTTTATTAAAAATTTCATTAACATATGAATATCTAATGTACTTCCACTAGAAAGGCAATTTTGAACAAGCAAGATGCTTTCTACCGACAGGTTTTGAGATGTTATGAATAACACATGAGATGCGGTAGACATAAAGGGTAAATATCCCAGCAGCTCCTCGTTGTGCCGAAGAGGGCAGAAACAGCCTCAGAATGCATCTGTGCCTACCTAGCTCAGCTTTATGACCCTCCACCCAAAGCACAGCAGCTATCAGTGAAGGATGGAAGAGCATCCTGCAACAAGTCCCACACCCTGAGGTGGGAGGAGGTGAAGGATGAGCTGTAGACACACACTCATGGATGCTGATGAGCACCATCCTCTCAAGTTGTGTGGTCAGTCTGTGCAGTTTCTCAGCTTACCACTTCCTCCAGAAGCGTGCAAAAACTGTTTTCTATGATAATAGAGTAAAAATGGTAGGTTTTCTTCAAATAAATACAAATCATAAATACCTCATGTTTTCATTTTAACTGTATCTAATTTTTGAAATAACTGAAAGCAACTGTTATTGGCATCTATATGGTTACTGATGCAGCACAACAAAGAAAAAGAAAAATTCTTCAAATTATAAAATGAAAGCTTTTTTAAGTGACTGATTTCAAGTTAAGGAACTATTAACTAAAAGTTGCTGTTAATGAGTTTTGAACAATTAGTATCGAAATGAATGTTTTCAAATTAGCAAGTTTTAATGAAAGAATTAAACCAGGTTATGAATAGTTGTTGCTGAGATTTTTATCAATTAACACAAACGTTTCCTGTCCCAAAGTGTGGGCTTGGTTGTTTTACTGTAAGAACTGGACTTGACACTCTGTAGCCAGATATTCTCTACTGCATTTCTACCTCCTGCTTCAATATGTGAGCTTTGTCAAGCCAAACCACAAAAGGTGGACATTTTCCTCATTTTGGAAATCTCTTCCAGAGTCTATGACAAAGTACAGTCAAAGTCTTGCTAGCATTATGTTTGCTATACATCTAAAACCAGAGCAATCATGCTTTACAAAAACCCTTCAAAACAAAAAAACTATATTCATATTGCTAGGACTCAAATTCGCTGACAAGATCTGTGGGTATGTATCATTTTTAGAAAATGCAACGTGGGAATGCATGTTTATATGGCAAAGCACAAAAGCAATGAAACCTCTTGGGAAAGAGGAGATAACTCACGTTACACAAACAGGCCCTTTGCTCTTATTTCTCTACAAAGCTGACATGTTATTTCATATGTCAGGAAAATGCTATTCCTGTTTGCTTGTTCTTCCTAAGGTGAACAGATTTTAGTATTAGCAAAATAATTGTGGGAATTCGGTATTTTTCCTGTTTTGTTGAGTACTTGGGGATGTTATGTTGGGAACTATCAACCACTACTTAGTTCACTTCAAAATCTGCTGCATAAAAAAAAAATACACTGGTAATTTGCTTACATGGCTTTTGTAGATACAATTACTGCTAGCAGCAGGAAAGAACTTTTATAAGCAGAACACAATTCAAATGTAACATGCCATGGACTCAAGTCATTAAACTAATCCTCAGGGCTTCTTGAGGCCTTTTGTACTTTTGGCAAAAAGTATAAAGAAGTATGCATTGTGGCTTCAGTTCCCAAACACTGGAAAGTTAAATATCTAGACTGTCAGCCCCTGCTAAACAGAGCAGAGATTGGTTTTGGGAAAAGAACAAGAGACGACTACATCTTTTGTTATTAAAGCACAATTGAACAAATATTAGAAGCATACCCATATATTTTTTCATGGTACATAAAAAAGTAGCCAGTAGAACTAAGGGAGGTGCAACAGCTCACAAGCAGCTCTGGTATTACAGGTTACCAGTACCTAGATACTGTGATGAAATTGAGATAGATGAGTGAAGTATCTTGACTTTGATACATCAGTAATGTGCCATGGTGTGGCACGGAACTCCAGTGTTTAGTGGCGTGATTTTAACATGACTACATAAATGATGAAGCCATAAATACATCAGACATGTCAGATATGTACCAACACCCCTCAAATATTTTTCTGCTGTATCACTCTACATCACACATCTAACATGAGATATTCTTTAGGGTTCTGAGAGAAAATGCAATACTTTTAGGAAGAAAAAGAGTTCCTTTGTATTGCTATTCTGCTGCGTATCAAGAGGTTAACACCTTTTTAAAGGTACTATTGAAAGTGGGAAAATAAGCAATGTATTCATTAGCTCATGGATCATTTAGACAGACATACCTGGGTGGCCTGAAATACACTTAAACATCAATATGTGACTACAACTGAAAATACAATGGTGACTAACGGCAGCCCATTTGCTTTTAGAAGAGCTCAGAAGAAGAATCCTTTGATACATGGAAGGATAATTACATGTTGGACTACAATTATTCCCTCAATTAATGCTGACAAAAAGTAGTGAATTGATATAAAAAATGAAAATATAAAAGCTACTAAATGTCAGGAGTCATGGAATCTCCTGAGTTGGAAGTGACCCACAAGGATCATCAAGTCCAGCTCCTGGCCCTGCACAGGACACCGCAACAATCCCAGCACGTGCCTGAGACTGTTGCCTAAAAGCTCCCTGAGCTCTCTCTCAGCCTTGGGGCCATGACCACTTCCCTGAGGAGCCTATTCCACTGCCTGACCACCCTCTGGGGGAAGAACCTTTTCCTAATATCCAACCTAAACCTTCCCTGACACAGCTCCAGCCATTCCCTTGGGTCCTGTCACTGGTCACATAGAAAGCAGAGATCAGTGCTGCCCCTCATGAGGAATTATTTAATATTTTGATTTGTACTCTGTGAAACTACATAAGCTCAGAGCATGAGGCCGAGGACTCTGTGCACCCTGACAGTCTCAGCCCAGCCCTGGGCCTCTTGAGCTTATCAGAAACACTGTCTGTTCCCAGGGACTAACAGGTGTCTAACGAGCACCTGTTTTTTAACGAGCAGACTTGGAAACTCATTCTTCTTGCCTGAATAACAACCCAAGTGGGATAATATTTTTGCTACTGAATCTTCAAAGAGAGTTCCTGATTCGAACTGTAGCCAGGCAGAAAATTGCTATGACTAAAGCCTACTCTTTAACAACTCTATAAACAGCAGTCCAAAGTGAGACCCTTGGAGCTCTTGCTTCCCAGAAGGTCAGAGAATGTGTATGTCTCAAAACACTGATACCGGATAGCTGTGGAGCCAACCAAAGACTCCTGGTAACATCTAAGGACTGTTGGTATTAACAGCCCTGTGACAGCAGGAAGTGCCTCTGTGTTCCAGGTCCTGAGGCTGCTGCCCTGCTCCCACCCGCCTGGGCCCAGTCCTTGTTCTATGCCCAGGGTCCCGCTCCGATCCCAGTCCCATCCTGGTCACGGCTGCCCAATCCTAGCTCTGTGACAAATGCTCAGGCCCCCACTCCTGCATTCTCTCTCCATCCTGATCCCAATCCCAGTCCTGCTCCTATGACCCATATCCAGGGCCCTGCTCCAATCTCTATCCCGATCTTGCTCCTGGTATCGATATATGCTGTCTGTTTGAATGTATTTTCTTAAATAAAGTATTCTAAAGCCTTATGCCTTTATCTAAATCAAATCCTGGTTTTTGTTGTCTAAACTGCATCCAAGAGTTTATCCAGATCAATGCTCTATTGAGTAAAATGTCAAAATACCATGTCTCTTCACTCACAAAAACTTTATCCCCAAGTTATTATAAAAGTGTGGTAGTCAGTATTTCCTATCTTTTCTTCTCTACAAAGAAGAATCATCACCAGTTCAGAGGAAAGTAACTGCAGTATTAACCAAAAAAATAACACATCACTCAAACAATGCTGGATCAGTTTGATTGTGATATACTTGAAATGTCTAACATAGTTACTTTTTTGACACATTACAGGACTGAGATACTGAAGGGAAGAAGAAGCATTTAAAACATTCTTAATTCCAGAAAAGGAATAAAAGAAATTTAATAAAAACAGATTGATTTCTAATCATCACCCTTCCATTTTAGGAGCAGAAATTTGTTTCTCAGCAAATCTCTTTGCCAACTGGTAAACAAATCAGTAAGGTTCAACACTCCTAAAATGAAATATTCAGATATTCTTCTGAGAAAAGTAACCTATAAACCTGCAAATTCCTAAAACACAGCTAACAAAGCCCTTTAGCTGCTACAACAATACTTTACTCAAATGTATTATGTTTATGCAGAGAACTTACCTTCCAAATAGAAAAAAAAAAATCCCCCATCTCACAAAAGCTATCAGCTATACCATAGGAGGCATTCAAATATTCTGCTACAGGAAAATACAGTATAGTTTTCAGAGATTATGATGCTACAAGAATATCAGGCATATACAAAACTAGCTGAAAGAAGATCTATCATTTCTCCACCACACATACACTTGCAGTAATCACTATAACTTTCAGCAATTTGAAGCAATAGCATGTTATCACCTAGTCAACGTTTCTCACACATATCAGGAAAAAACTGTAAAGTTCAGAAATGAAGTAGAATAAACATTCCGGAAAAAAACCTGTCTCACTCACTGTTCAATACGTGGGGAGAGGTACAGCTTCGGAAAAACCTGAGTAGCTTCTGCATCCTCAAAACTAACAGAGAGAAGTGCAACATCTTCTCCAGGATCTTCATTCACATCCTGTACATAAAAAAAACCAAACAAAAAAACCCAAAAATAAAATGGTAAATAACAAAATGAGTACTTATAAGTTTGCAGATAACAACTAATAAATCAAATACCAATTTATTTAGGAGATGTTTAAGTGAGGAATTTAAAGTGTAACCATTGTAAAACAGGTTGCAAATTTATTCTTTCTTATTACATGAGTACTTAACAGTACTAATTACTGTAGTGATTTCTTTAAAATATAAAAATAAAATTATTGGGTTACCAAGTATGCAGTAGTGTAGTAGCTCTCCTTCCACTAGGTAAACTATAAATTTCAGTAAAGATACAGATTTCATTTTTTGGAATTCCTGGTTTAACACTAACATCAGATGCAGATGCCAAAGAATTTTTTAAAATGTTATAATATCACCGAGTTATGACCACAGATTTTACATTTGTTATTTTTCAAAGTAGTATATGGTCAAAATTTTTTGTTGTATTAAACTCCTACTTATCTTTAGGACAAAAAACATTTCTGCAATCAGAAATTTATATCTAGAAGTCACTGTCCCCAAGTTTCATGCAAATTAAACCCATGCATTTCTTTCAGCAAAGACTACATACTCCATAAAAGTACTGTAAGAAAAAGAAATCTATGCTAAATACAAGTCAATGCATTCACAGTTGAGACTTTCTTTATATCAGAACAATCAGTTACAGCTTTGGGATCATCTAGAACAAATTGTTTCTGGTTAGGACCTGACAGCCCTCCAATTCATAAATCACATACAGTACAAACCAGTGTATTTCTGCTATGCACAACTTCATTTAAGCTCTTAACCTCTACACAGAAAGTAATCTTAGTGGTGCAGTCACCTTCATTGACAGCAAATACCATGGTGCCACTTGCTGCTCACAAATAAATGCACATGTCTGTGCATATGTACACAGGAACTTGCCAAGATGCATTTGTTTTCATCCGTTTTGGAAAAATAAGAGAGGAAACAGATAACCTAGCAAATTATGTGCTCAAAGCAGGATCAACATGGTGCAGAGTGCCCTGGTATGCTCTGTCCTATAGGCAGCTGTGAGGAAGGAACATGCAAACCACTTAAATATTGCTAGGAGACCCTGCCCTATCTGGGGAGAAAAAAAAATAAAGTGAGTGCTGAGTGGTTTCAGGAAGGCAACCTCGTGGCATTTGAAGCTTTGGCAGGACTGAAACTGTTAAAGTCCAGAGAGACTTGCTGCATACCAGTTATTACGTGCAGAATACAACATGCCAAGAAACTTAGTGATAAGCTGCAGGGAAGAATAGGTCTTAAAAAAGCCTAATTGTCTTAGATGAAAAATGAGATGGAGCTGACAGTGTTTTCTTAAATTCTGCCTTGGTGTGCAGCTCACTTCTGACAGCTGAAAGAAAACTGTACTTTTAGAACTGCCTGTGAAACGGTCACGAGAACACTGTAGCTGGAAATCAGAATAGTTTTAACCCGAATTTGCAGGACAACACTCTATGTGAGTAGTGAGGACAAACAATAGCTGTTGTCCTGTTGGGGTACGATCAGTTTACGGTTGGGATCATATGACATGGTTCTCTGTAACTGCAATGGACAGGATCTCGTGACCCAATATGTTCCCTTAAGTGTTACGTTTTCAAATGGTACTATCTTCTACACTAGAAGAACCAGAATAGTTTACAAAACCTTTATCAACAAGACAAACAACAACAAAATATATGCAAGAGTGCAGTTCACCCTGACCTTTCCCCCAGTATTTTATATATTTCTATCATAAAGGAAAAAAAATAAGGAACAGCTTTCAATCCTGAAGCTGAGTATGGCATTAACTGGCTTTTTCCCATTAATTTTCTAATTGTCAATCAAATGAAAAGAACTATTAAGACAGATTAAACTAATGATTTAAAAGATTTTATTTTAATAGGTATTCTTCAAGAGATGACAAGTACATATAATGGTTAGGTTGACGAGAAGCTCAATGTGACCCAGTGACGTGCACTTGCAGCCCAGAAAGCCAACTGTATCCTGGGCTGGATCAAAAGCAGTGTGACCAGCAGGTCGAGGGAGGTGATTCTCCCCCTCTACTCTGCTCTTGTGACACCCCACCTGGACTACTGGGCCCAGCTCTGGGGTCCCCAAGAAAATAAAGATATGGACCTGTTGGAGTGAGTTTAAAGGAGGGCCACAAAGATGCTCAGAGGGTTGAGAACCTCTCCTGTGAAGACAAGCTGAGGAAGTTGGGGCTGTTCAGCCTGGAGAAGAGAAGGCTCTGAGGAGACCTTATAGCACCTTCCAGAAGCTAAAGAGGGCTACAAGAGAGCTGAGGAGGAAACTTTTCACAAGGGCATGTAGTGACAGGACAAGGGAGAATGGCTTTGCATTGAAAGAGGGTAGGTTTAGATTAGATATAAGGAAGAAATCCTTCACTTTGAAGGTGGTGAGACACTGGAACAGGTTGCCCAGAAAAGTTGTGGATGCCCCATCCCTGGAAGTATTGGGTGTCCCAGACTGAATGGGACTTCGAGCAACCTGTCCTGTGGAAGATGCCCCTGCTTATGGCAGGGGATTGGAACCAGATAATCTTTAAGGTCCCTTCCAATCCAAACCATTCTGTAATTTTGCAATATAATACATCCACTTTTGTGTGTATAGAGCTTTTCCAAGACCATATTATTTTGTTTGTAAGTATTTTCAAATAATTTGTTTTTACAGAATAGAATCTACATGCATTTTACAGGCTACATGGACAATAAACCCCTTATTTAGACTTGCATTTATGATTAGTGCTTAAGTAGATGTGCATATATAGTTTGACACCATGGAGAAGACCAGTTTCTAGAATACCAGCAGGTGCTTACTGATTACAGGAAGTCAAAACAAGGAAAAAGAAAAACCCGACTCCAAAACAGACTAGGTGAACACCACTATAGCATCCATTACCACGTACAGTAATATTACATTCTATTTTCTACAGTCACTAGTGGCTTCTTTAATATGAAGATTCATGCCAGTGGAAAAAAAACACACAACCACATAAATCATCACTGTATGTGATTTGCATGTTAAGCTGCAGTAAAATTAAGTGTGTAGTAAGAGTAATAAATTGAGACACGATCTTTTTCCATTTACAAAAATACCACACAACAAACACTACTGCAACTCTTGCTGCCAGCAGAGCACTATATTATGTTCATACAGCTACTGTCCAGTGCAAATCCACATTAAGAAATTGGCATTCTTCTATAACTACCACTTGTCAAATGGCTGCACATCTGCAGCCCTGAGAAATGAAAACTGTAACTTAAAAAAGACCCAAACCCCCAGCATTCCTGTAGGTTTTAAAAGATGCAGTGCAGTAACACCATGAAACTGCTTAACCTTATTGCTCAGGTGGCTGCAGATTTACAACAAACTCCCTTCTATCTGACACCATACCCTTTATTCCTTTCAGACTTTGTTACTTTTATTTATGCTTGGCAGAACTGCATTCAATGCTAGTATGTCTGTTAAAACTGCCGTTTATAAAACTAAACCAAAACCACATGTTCTACAGATAAACTGTGGAAAACTTTTCGACTAATAGACCTTTTTGATGTTGTCTGTGCCAGTTACAAATTAACTCTTTGAGCTATCTCTCTCCTGGTCATCTCTAAAAACTTGTCAGTCATTAGGTGAGAAGATGAAGCCTTCTAATACCAGACAACAACATTTGCCCAGAACAGGGGCTGAGATCCTTCCATTACACCAAGGGGTCCAAAGGCAAAGCTTGTTTTAATGCTTCTTATCAAACTCTGCACCAGCAGCATCTTCCCTTTTCCCATTTTGGAATGCGTATTTATATAAAAGAATAGGCTAGATTTAAATAGAGTAGCAAAGTGAAAATCGCCTCTATTCTTGTTTTTCAGTTGGCTTCATAAGAGAGAGTGACATTGCTTTGCCAATACTAGCCCCTTTTAGGAAAAAAAAAAAAAGAGGTTGTTGAACTAAAGTCACGTTTCATTTTTTAATATTTAAGTAGCCATGCTTCTTCTCCTCATAATTTGTATTTAACTCATGACACTTAATGCTAGATGATTTTATTAAACAAATTAATTCTATTTTCAAGAAAAATTGATTTTGTAAAAATTAAGAATGGCAATTTTCTATAAATGTTAGATGCCAAGGTTAGAACTGCCATAACACAGTGCCATTTTATACTCACAGAACTTTTTCCACACAGGACTCTACAGAAGGTATTACTAAAATGACTTCTAACTGAACAGAGAACACATCCTGGGCCACAGGAATGTTGAGGTTTAAAATCTGAATGTAAAAATGTTTGCGATCCTTAGTTAAGCACATGCTAATGCACACCTTTTAATTTTTCCACAACAGTCTCACGCCTGATAGTAAGAATACCCAACTTCTAGTGTTGGATTTTTTACACCATAGTGCCCTAGATTTTCATAGTGCCTTTCTGCCATCTTGCTACTATTTATTTTTTTTTAAATAATCTTTTCCTCATTTCAGAAAATGTCCATTCAAATTAAACAGGAAAAAAAATGGATACACCATTTAACACTGAAAATAAACAGTTTTCTTTCTCAAGAACTGCAAGAGGTTTCCTATGTTTACAGAGTACTTTGCACAGGGGAGATTGATCCTTGATTAAACCTCCAAAGTAACGTGGTGGGAAAAAAACAACAAAAAAAAATCTAGAAATTTTCAACCCATAAGCTTTTTTCTATTGTAGAAATCTAGCAACAATTTACAAGAATAAATAAAACTTTTCATAAACAGAAAGCTCACGGTATTTGATTCTAATTTACCCTCTGTCTGCTTAGCCAGTGCAGATAAAAGGTTCATTAAGTATGTATCTTCAAAACTCAAGAATGAGAGGCCATGTGAAAATATAAATGCAGCACAGAACACACGAAGATGGAAACTTTAACACATTTAGAATTTTTTCCCCCAAAATACTTCATGAAAAGACTTTGGGTATTACAAAACCCCAAAGAAAAACTTAAAATC